TGTGATCGTCATTGTGATGGATCGACTTGGTTTGGCAACGCCACAGGTGGTATGATATTGCTACATGCGACTGTCGCACTGCTTTGTATAAACGAGAAGCTGGTCAGTTACATTATAGTGGCAATGTGATCGTCATTGTGATGGATTGACTTGGTTTGGCAACGCCACAGGTGGTATGATATTGCTACATGCGACTGTCGCACTGCATTGCATAAACGAGAAGCTGGTCAGTTACATTATAGTGGCAATGTGATCGTCATTGTGATGGATTGACTTGGTTTGGCAACGCCACAGGTGGTATGATATTGCTACATGCGACTGTCGCACTGCTTTGTATAAACGAGAAGCTGGTCAGTTACATTATAGTGGCAATGTGATCGTCATTGTGATGGATTGACTTGGTTTGGCAACGCCACAGGTGGTATGATATTGCTACATGCGACTGTCGCACTGCATTGCATAAACGAGAAGCTGGTCAGTTACATTATAGTGGCAATGTGATCGTCATTGTGATGGATCGACTTGGTTTGGCAACGCCACAGGTGGTATGATATTGCTACATGCGACTGTCGCACTGCTTTGTATAAACGAGAAGCTGGTCAGTTACATTATAGTGGCAATGTGATCGTCATTGTGATGGATTGACTTGGTTTGGCAACGCCACAGGTGGTATGATATTGCTACATGCGACTGTCGCACTGCTTTGTATAAACGAGAAGCTGGTCAGTTACATTATAGTGGCAATGTGATCGTCATTGTGATGGATTGACTTGGTTTGGCAACGCCACAGGTGGTATGATATTGCTACATGCGACTGTCGCACTGCTTTGTATAAACGAGAAGCTGGTCAGTTACATTATAGTGGCAATGTGATTGTAATTGTGATGGATCGACTAGGTTTGGCAACGCCACAGGTGGTATGATATTGCTACATGCGACTGTCGCACTGCATTGCATAAACGAGAAGCTGGCCAGTTTATTCATTGGTTTCGTCAAGTCATTGTTGAAACTCGCGAATAGCCATCTGATCTTGCTCGATAATAAGCTGCATGATCCAGAAAAATAATGCAGGAACGCGTTTCAAATCCTCGGCTTCTCCCGCCTTTACTTGCAAACTGTGGCTGGTTTAGTTTGAAGTGTTGACACTTTAAAAGCTGAAACTTTAAGAAACTATGTCCGCCACTGTGGACAAGTCATATGACGACTTACTTACAAAATTACATGGTCTGTAGAAAGTATAAAAATATATCTGTTTTTTAAGGATATACACCAACTTCCATTTCAACTATCCCAAAAGTTATTTTTTTAAATACTTAAAACACGTGATTGTTTGTGATAATAACCTCAACAATGGGGTGGACTGTCCCACCCGCACGTAATGGTTCCCGTTGTACACGGTGGAAAGTAGTGTATGAAGGGTGGTAGGTAGAGGGTGTGTATCACGCACGACCTTGTTATACAGTATAGGCCACGGTCCACTGACCGGAACTCGCGTGATTCTACCCTCCAACAGTCGTGTTTGGGGGCTTTGGAAACTATTATAGGCTCTCTGGTCTTAATGGTTACCAAACGGTGCAGAATTACCAATTTTCTTCGTAGTTTGGGTCGGGGACAAACGAGTATATTAGTATACACATCAACTACATTTTGTTTACCCAGAGAGTGCGCAGTGTTAAATAATAAAAACCATGCATATAATTAACCATGTTCATCGCACTCGCACACATAATAATGTTATAATGCATTTCCAAACAACGCGTCGACGATTTTTCCGTGTTACTATTTTACTTATTCTGTTAAATTAATTACAATTCTATAGATTTTTAATATTCAGCGTTATCATTGACTATACACATATTCTGTATATATTCAATGGTAATATATACAATTGACTCTGTGTGAACCATAAAGTATTGATACGTAAATGATTTATATGGATTTTTACACAACCCAAAATGTTGTGCACACCCAATACAAAATTAATAACATTGGAAAATCTTTAATTATTTTTTTAGTTTTAATTGAGACACGACGACAACGACATATCTGCAATAGTAACTCTTCAAAGGCACAGAGAAGTATACTAGCATGTGACAAACCGTCATGAAAAAGCCCTTCGGATGTATCTCATTAACGAGTAACTCTCTGGATAACTGTACTGCGACTGTGAGTTTAGTTCAATAATGGTTCAATGTACTCGAAGATGCGTATGGCGCAAAGGATATAATTCTGTGTATATGGAGATCTTAACTTCCCCTTTTATTCACCAATTTTGAAGGAGCTCTTAACATATATGTCATCCCTATGGCATAAAATGGCTCTTAATTCGAACCGAGGTCAAGTTTTATGATCGAGACGTAGCCGAGGTCGGAAAATTAGCGAGGGTTGAAAAGACACTTTTTGCCGGTGTGGTGACTGGTGAACTATAAGTTTCGACACATTGATAAAAAAAAACTACATCAAACTTAAAAAAGATTATCTAATATTTCGTAATCTATTCATTTTTCTAATCCAAACACAAAACGGTTTTACAAAATTAATGTTAGTGTAAAATTCAGATGATTGAACATTAATCACGTTTTAGTTTTTTTTTGTCCTCTGTGAGCTAACCAGGAACTTCAGTTGTCTCTTGTCAGCTGATCACCATTTGATTTTGGTGTATGGACATTGACGATTTTCGAAGATCTCAGCTGTATGGAAATGGGGTATTTATGGAATACAGAGTGATGAAAACTATGTTACAAAACTGAAATAGTGATAATTTAAAGATAACCTCTCAAAACTACTCCTAGCTTGTTTTCAATGAAATTTGCTAGTGGAAACAAGCAGCTGTTTAGCAATTGATTCAATCGTTTCGTCTAATCTGATTTTGTAAATGTAAGGTTATACTATCAATATGTATAAACAATGAGGCAATGTACCATTTACATTTAGGCAACAATTAACTACAATGGATCAAATAATCAATACATACTACCGATATTTATGCAATAATTGTTTATAATCAAAATTTACAACTGTGTTGACAACAGCTGATTTTTACTTTCTAGTGACTAAAAACTCTTTTTACTCCCCTGATCGATCTGTTGTTGGTATCAACCATAGAATGACCAATATGAGTGTAGTGAGTGGTCACTGGTCACTGACCGTTGGCATCGACCCGTGGCGCTGACCCTTCGTTGGCAAATTTGTCAGTTTTATGAAAGGGAAAAGATAAGATCAAAGTATGTTTTACGGGAGATTACACACTCTGTAACTTATCGTACTTCGACTCGAGGAACAAGAGAATGTTTTGACCGCGTTCAAAATAGCACGTACATATTGACGACGGAGCTTTATCACTTTCCACACCAAAATAGTTTCTTTTGACAATCACGATTCCTAACATTGAAAAGCATGTAATATAAAGGCACTGTATACACTGTTGTAGTAAAATTATTTTTAACTAGCTGCTGTACACGTGCTTCGCAACGGAGAAAACACTGAAGAGAAAATGTTGATCTTTAAATCTGTTGTATGAAATAGTTACCGTACACGTCCGACTTTGGTTTCAGGAACAAAATTTATTTGGACCTCTTAGTTTTAAAATTACCTTTCTTTAACGCTAGGCTAACTTATAAGGCTACCTAGTAAGAATGATATGAGGAGCTGATGCATGTATGACAATATTCTTCCATACGATTTAATTTTCGAGTGATACCTTTGACTATTGACACGCGACACATTCCATCCCCATGTTAAAGTTGTAGCCAGTTTTTTTTTATCAAAATCATCGTAGTTGATGTGAGCCACCGACAGATTTCGCTGATCTAAATTACCAATTTCTGTCGAGTACACGCACTTTTTTTACCAAATCAAATTAATAGAATGACTTAGTGTGAACTATAGCAACTACTATGACCCATCAACTATGTCAGAAACAAATAAATAAGGAATAAAATAGAATTTTAGACACTATCGCATTCTGTGACTGGCTCACACAACTACAGTACATTATTTTTTTGAAAAAAATTGGCGACAGCTGTTCCATATACAGTAGATGGGATGTCTACTTCTGTATCCAATAGTCAATGGTGATACGCATACCTTTATGTTTATTTAGTTAAAAACTTACATGTTAAGTAAATAAGTAGAAAATTATCACACAACATAGGCATGGATAAAACATGGTATGTCATGTTAAAATAATTTTATCTATGAAATAGGGTACTGCGGTAGTAAAGCAAAAACTGTTTATATTGATTTAACATAAAATTATTACGTTTTACCCTAACTAACTTTAGTCAGGAATCTTTACCTGCAGCTCATCATGTAAATACCACTGATGTAAGCAAAAGTAAAATGGTGGAACACTAGTGTTACCTTTTGTTAGAAAGCTAATTTCTATTATTGTTAATCAGGGCACAAATTGCATCAGTGTAAATAATAAATCAACAACATAGGCCTACATAATACGTAACAGTTCTTATTTACCGTTGGAAAGATATTTTCCTGTAGAAGTGCAGAAAAAAACGCATTCCATGTCAAGAGAAAAGTATTTAAATATTAGGAAGTCTTTGAAATTGGTGTTTGATCAGGACATTACTGATGAAATGAAAAAGTGTGACCGGTTGTGGAAAATTAGGCCATTAATTGAAAGAGTCCGTGCAGGTTGCTTGTTGCAGCCTAGAAGTCATAATGTAAGCATTGATGAAATGATGATCCCTTTCAGTGGCCAAACCTCGTTGAGGCAATATGTACCTAACAAGCCCAATCCTGTTGGATTGAAAGCATTTGTATTGGCTAATCCTAATGGTGTCGTATGTGATTTCGAAATCTATCAAGGAAGCAACACTTTTCCAAATGAAAAAAATGCTGGCTTCAGTTTATGTGAAAGTGCCATTCTTGCGCTCACTCGTAGCTTAGTACCTGGCCATATAATTTATTTTGACAGGTATTTCACAACAATCAAGTTGGCAAACGAGCTAATATCTCGTGGATTTAGGTCAACTTCTACAATAATGAAGAACAGAGTTCCAGATAACCCTCTAAAGTCAGACAAAGATATGAAAAAGATTGGTCGGGGAGCAGTAGATGTTAAGGTGAATGAGGACAAAGATTTATGCCTTTTAAAATGGCAAGATAACAAGCCTGTTGTAATGCTATCGTCGAATGATGCCAAAGAGCCTATGAATGATGTTCGTAGGTGGTCAAAGGTTGATAAAAAATACATCATGGTCCCTCAGCCAAATGTAATAAAGGCTTACAATACTAACATGGGCGGGGTTGATTTAGCGGACCGTATGCTTGCCTATTGCCCTTCTAGGCAAAGAACTAGGAAATGGACCACCCGAACCATTTTACATTTCCTTGACTTGGCCATTAGCAATGCTTGGCTGTGTTACAGAGAAAATGAAGTGACGGCTGGTATACCACTTAAGAAAGTACCACAACTACGGAAATTCAAACATGAATATGGGGAATACTTAATTGAATCCAGTTCCATTGCTTCAGAGTCTGAAGAATCAGATTGGCTAAATGAAGATGAAGTGGTTGCTGAAACTCAGGCCAAGAAGAAGTCGGTTAAAAGTCTGCCATCGACTCGTTTTAGGACACACGGTAGCCACCTACCATCAATAAGTGCAGGAAAGCAGCAAAGATGCAGAAACCCCAAATGCTCCAAAAAGACCTCGGTAAACTGTCTCCGTTGTGAGCTTTATCTTTGCCTGACAGCAGACAGGAACTGTTTTGCAGACTTTCATAAATAACAGAGTATAAAAGTAACATTAAACATTATTGTAATAAAATAATCTTCATTGTCAGTGTCAGTTGTTTTAATTTCAAACACCTAGTTATAACCCAATGTACTTTTAAAAGGACATTAAAAAAAACCTATATGTAAATTAGTTCGATTTTTATAAATAATTTTCTTATGTTTAAATAACATATATAAACACATATAAAGAAAAAAATTTAAATTTCATGACATAAAAATTCTCTGGGTTTTACCATATTATGAGACTATGTCCTTTTAAAAGGACACTGGGTTTTACCTAAGAAGTTGTCACATTTTCTCCGGGTTTTGCAGCAGTATGAAACGATGTCCTTTTAAAAGGACACTGGGTTTTACTTAAGAAAACGTCTCTTTTACCCTGGGTTTTAGGAGGGAAAGGAAGACCAAGATATAAAACAAGAAACACTGTTAATTTTAAGTAACATAAAATTGATAATTTTAAAAACATATTTCGAATATTTGTCTTTTTTTTATTGTGGTCTAAATTATGGGCTATGGTCCTACAGGCCACTAGTTTTGATTAAATTCAGTATACACGTGTAAACCTACATTTATTTGAACAAATTCGCGAACAAGCATGATGTAACCATGGGAACATGTGTTTATGGAGGGTTGCAAAAAAAACGAAATTTTGCAATTTCTTTTAAAACTGTTTTGTAGAGCTTAAAAAACAAATAATTTAGTATATTGAAGCGTTACTATGTGCCTAAAGGTTTTGGAGAAAATTCCAAAAAATTTAAAATTTAAATTCCCATGTTGTTCTTTTAAATATCATCAATATTTTAAATATAAATCAATAAGTAACCTGTTGTAGCTGTTTGTTTATGAACATATATTTTGATCAAATTTGGGAAATGCATTTATTTATTACTAAACTTACCCCCGCCGCAGCGAACCTGCATACTAAACGAATTTTCATTTACCCGGTTGGATTTCTCTACTAAAATATTCCCTAAGAATTGTCAGATTTTTTTCCTATTTAAATAAAATTATTTTAGTGTGTACTTAGGTTTTTTTAACAATCTCCGCAACCGTTAGGCATACATTAACGCTACAATATACAAAATTATTTATTTTTTTAAGCTCTATATAATGTTCTGGAAAGAAATTTGAGAAGTGGCATGACCACATCCATAAAAGAAATAGCCTAACTGAGAAATCAATATTCTTCAATAACAACACCAGTAAATTTATTCTAAGAAACACAGCTGCTATCAACAGTTCTACTCTTGGTAAGATAGTTAAAACATTAAATAAATCAAAAGATACGCTCAAAAACTCCAAAAGTGGAAGTTGATTTTCAATGAGCCAAAAGTTTCTGCTGTGGAAAGATATAACAGCAGGTGCTGCTCAGTGCTTAAGTCTTGGACCTGACCTTTGGAACATTGCTTTTTAAGGGTGTTTGGTAGAAGGTTTGATCTCGTATTTTTTGTTAGGTATTCAATTATACTAAAAATTAGAGATACAAATATATACGAATTTTGTTATGTTGAATATTAAGGGAGATATGGAGCTTGAATGTAGTAAACTTGTCATATTTTTGTAACAATTCACAGGGGGTATGGGTAATGTGATTCTCAGCAAAATTGCCGTTCAGGTGTGAAAAAAATAAGATAATAATCATTAGCTATTTAAAATTAACATTTTTTAACTAAAAAAAAGGTTTTTTAGCGAATTTCCCATATAGGGAATAAGCTATTACCGTAGTACTCATGGTAAGACCTGGACACGGGACCGAATTTTTTTTTTCGTTTTGAGGTCCCTAGAGGCCAAAAACACCATCCGTTCAAATTCATATATATATATATGTGTGTGTGTGTGTGTGTCCGTCAGCGCGATAACTCGAGCAAAAATGATCCGATTTTGATGAAATTTGGTACAAACGTGTAAACGTACGTTTATTCGAACGAGTTCGCGATCCAGCATGATCGGACCATGGGAACGGGGGTTTACGGGGGGTTTTATGGGGTAAAAATAGGTTTTTCCCATTTTTGACCCAAAAAAACATAAAATTTAGCAATTTCTTTCCAAACCATTTTGTAGAGCTTAAAAAAACAAATAATTTAGTATGTTGAAGCGTTATTATGCGCCTAATGGTTACGGAGAAAATTCCAAAAAATTGTAAATTTAAAATTCCCATGTTATTCTTATGGAGAATAAGTAAACTGTTGTTGTAGTTTGCTTGTTTGTGAACATATTTTGATCAAATTTGGAAAATGTTTTTATTTCTTACTAACTATTCACATTTTACAAAAAAAAACAGTTTTACCCTCCCTGATGCAGCAAACCTAAGTACTTGTTAAACTAATTCTGTTTAAATCAAGAATAAATGTTATATTTTTAAGTAGACATTTCAGTGTAAATCCAATCAGTCAAATGGAAGTTCGCTTAGTCTGCAGGTTTGCTGCGGCGGGGGTATTTTTTATTCTAACAATAGGTGTTTTCTTTGGCTGAAATTCATCTATATGTTGGATTTTTTAATGCGATATTTTAACTAGTTTGGGATGTGAATTCGTACCTTTGATGCCATGTGCTGGCAGCGCACTACTCGTTGAGAGTGTGTACACTCACGCCAGGGCTATAAAATACATTAACACTATGTAATTATTAACATCTTCTTGTAACATTGACAGAACACATGTATCGTATTCTATAGCCCCGGCATGTTTTCTGTGCCGGCGTGAGTGTACACATTTCCAACGAGTAAGTGTGCTGCCAGCGCAAGGCATCAAAGGTACAAATTCACAACCCATACGAGTTAACATATCGCATTAACAAAAATCCAACATATAGATGAATTTTACCCAAAAACTAACAGCCATTTTTAAAGTTATTTAAACAGTTAAATTTTTTTTATTTTATAAAAATAAAAAAATAACATTTAAAAAGTTAAATATTTCAATTTTAAATAGCTAGTGATTTTTCACTTATTTGTTCACACCTGAACGCCAATTTTGGTGAGAATCGCATTACCCATCCCCCCTGTCAATTGGTACCAAAATATGACAAATTTACTACTTTCAAGCTCCATATCTTCCTTGGGGATGTGCCTCCATCTATAGGCCATTTTATAAAATATTTTGACTTTTTTCAAAAGTGACAAGTTTTTATTCCTTAATTATTACTGAACATGTATGCAAATTTTTATTTGATTTGGAGAATTTTTTCAGTTATTTTTATAATAAAATTGAAGACGTTGCGCCTAGCAACAATAAGTAAAATGAAAACTTTAAACGGCGTTTTCTCAAAACTACGTTTTTCATTTACTACATTTACGTAAGTTTGAATAACTTTCAAACTACTTATTATTTTTCAATGAAATTTTAACCAGATGTTCTTAATAGTATTTAGAAGGTTTGTGTGTATAGAGAACATCCTGCAATTATTTATTCCTATAAAATTTTATGTTTTACATTAAAAATCTGATCTTTTCGTGTAACATTTTTCATATTATTGTAAAAAGGTCTACTAAAGCTGTATTTGTTGAGTTACCATAGTTTCAATACACAGAAATGTTCATTGTTATGTGGGAAAGTAAAATATGTTTACTTTTTTACATTATGTTGATAAACAAAAAAGTTATTCAAAACTGATTTTTTTTTTAATTCTAAAAATTTTGAAATTTACCCCAAAGTGACCAAAAATTGATTTGGATAACATTTTTTCTATATATAAATCCTCTAATTAGGTGAAATAGAAACAGAATAAACCCACAAAAGCCATTTAAAATAAATAATTAAAAAAAGTCTTAGAAGGAGGCATATCCCCTTTATAATACTCAACATAAAAAATATCCTATCCTACTAATATTATAAATGAGAAAGTTTGGATGTTTGTGACAAGTGAACGCGAAAAATACTGGTCGGATTGGGCTGAAATTTGGCATGATGATAGCTCACATTCCCGATTAACATATAGGCATATTATTATTTCAAAAATCCTTTCGGGCTCCGCCCCAGTGGCTCTGGAGTTTCCCATGTTAACCTTATGAGAAATGGAATTATTGAATCTTAACAGCTGTTTCAATTAAACAAGTTGGTTCTGTTCTATGATGTTCAATAGCATTAAAGTTACAAGGATTACCAACAGGGTGCAGCACTATTATTTCTTTTGCATTTATGACAACAGCTAATTTGCAACCAAAAGGTGAGTGAGCGTAGCGAACGAACTTCAACCTGGAGGCGAGTTAGCGTAGCGAACGAGCTAACCTAAAGGCAAGTGAGCGCAGCGAACGAGCTCCAACCTAAAGGTGAGTGAGCGTAGCGAACGAGCTCCAAACTAAAGGTGAGTGAGCGTAGCGAACAAACTTCAACCAGGACGTGATTGAGCCATGCGAACGAGATAATCTTGAAAATTAAGAAGTTAAACGGGGCAAAGCCCGTGGGTTACAGCTAGTTTCTAATATATTTGTATCTCTAATTTTTAGTATAATTGAACAACAAAAAATCCGAGATCAAATTTTCGACCAAACACCCTTAAAGAAGGATCCTCCTGATGAAATATGGCTTGCAAGACTTTCTTCATTTATTATATGGATGATATCGTAATTAAAATGGCAAAGAATGTTGATGAATTGTAGAGGCTGTTGGCCTTGGCCATGTCATAAGGTGGATGAACATGACCTTGTCCTTTGGTAACGGAAAAGACCAAGATCGTACTTCTCACCAGGGCTCTAGTAGTGGTTAGCGTCTCGGACTTTGGTGCGCAGTATGCAGAAAGCAACGGTTGTTGATGTCCATGTCCATTGTCCACGTCCACTACATTCTTTTTAAATATAAGACAACTCAGAGGAAAGATGGCAGTGGTCCACAGGAGAAGAGCTCTCCGGATTGCTAAGGCATAACACACAAGTTTTGAGCTACCCGTCCTCATAGTTGCAGGGGTGATTCCTATGGAACTTCTTGTTTTTGTACAGAAGCAGATATTTGATAGCAATAGAGCTTTGAGTCATACCACCGAAGCTAGAAATTATAC